CCTCAATTCGTGAATTGACATATCGTTATCCTAAATTATGACCGTAAAAACTTATCTGATCGACAAAATTAATGCACAAAAACACCGTTTAAACGGTATTATACCATCGAATCGTTTAACAAGCAAGAGTAACTTATGTAAAGCTTTTCATGATAATATACTTTACACTCCAAATCAACTTCCTCCTAAGGTTGACCTTCGAAAAGATATGACATCAGTCGAAGATCAATCAAAAATCGGCAGTTGGTAATTTTTTCGATGATATACCCTACTGATATTCATTTTTATGGTCTTTTTTTTAGCTCGGCAAATGCTCTAGCAGGTAATACTGAGGATGTACAGTTTTGTCAGTGGGCTTTATTATTTATGAATTCTTAGGAGCGTATGAATATTTGACGAAAAAGCACGACGGACAAAATACTGATGTGAGTCGCTTGTTTATATATTATAATGCTCGTGCAAAAAATAAAAAATCTGGCTCTGTCACTGATTCTGGCTGTTCAATGGAAAGTGCTATTGAAGCCCTCAAAGAATTTGGTACTTGTCTCGAATCCATTTGGGCATATGATATTTCAAAAGTAAACATACGTCCAAACGATCAAGCTTATCGAGACGCCAAAAATCATACGATTTCAGAAGCACTCGAAGTTGATATTAATCTATTTGAAATGAAATCATGTCTCGCACAAGGATATCCATTTGCATTTGGTTTACGACTCTGTGCATCGTTTGAAAAAGCAGCTAAAACAGGTTTAGTACCAATGCCGAATGGATCAGAAAATAAACTAAAGATGCACAACTGGTAGTATTTTTGTTATTCACAAACTATCTGATCATAGAATTGTTTTTTCAAATTTATTTTAGCCATGCACTTTTAGCGGTAGGCTATAGTGATCGATCGAAAGTGTTTATTGTTCGAAATTCATGGGGAGAAAGATGGGTAAGCATAATTTCCGTTGATATGCATAGTTTAACATAGTCATCAATGATTATGAAAAGTGAAGCAAAAACTATTTTTCGTATTGTAGTATAACTCTTCAGCCACAAGTTAAAGAATCTTTTGGAGCATGGTGAATTTAAATCTTTTATGTTTACAAAATTTTTCAACATGCTTCAGTGACAATTCACTCAATGCTTGTTTAGTGGTTTGCGCATTTCTGAATGACAGAGAACATCATAGTATCATTATCTACGGAATGTATTTGATCAATGATGAGAGTTTGCGACGTTCCTCATTTTGACTTTTTAAGTATATGTTTTTGATGAACAGAAATCGGTTTGAACTTTAGAGTAGCTTTTAAGTTCTTGACCGTTGCCTTGAATCATTCATAGTTCTAACTATGTTCTTCATGATTAAAATTCTAATTCGACAACTATTCAAATCGAAATGAATTTGCCATATTCTCTGGTATCCGTTTACATAAGATCTGTGCCAACCGTTGAATTGTTGTCAGATTAGACTGGATCAATTTGAACTGTATCCTAATTGAGATACTAGACCCAAGATTTACTTCGAGTCTGCATCGGATCCAAAAGATCTAGGTTGACGAGCTTACTTTTGATCATACAAGAATGAAATGATGTATTTCGTTTTTTCATGGATTTTCTCCATTTCGAATTTGATTCATTGACGATTTTAGTAAGATTTGTCAAAATCTCAACCAAACTTGAATATTGAATAATATTATGGATCCACCTAACAGCTTTTAATTTACAATTCTAGTTTTAAAATGAAGTCAGACCAGTGTACTTTCATTATTCGAGATTTGTGCAAAGTTATTGAAATTAATCAAATTTCACAGATTTCTAAGCTCTTCGAGTATTGTTTTTACTATACTCAAGATTCACGGCGAGAAATTTTCTAAATTCCAAATTTTTGGAAATTTTAGAGTTTTGGAAGAAAACAAAGTTTCTGAAGTTGTGCTCTTGAAATGGATGAAACTTTGAAAATTTTCGATTTTTGAAATCTCAACACTGCTGCATTATCTATGAAAATAAAATACAGTATGCTACAGTAAAATTTGTCTCCTTGTGAATCAGAATAGCTCAATAGTTAATTGCACATATAGCTTGCCTAAATACAGATATTGAGGATGTTAGATCTATGTAAATCTTAGATTAAACAACCATATTTTTGTGTGTGGTACTTTCAGGGCGACAAGGGATATTGTTATATTCCATATGAGTATATGACAGATTCAGATCTTTGCTTTGATGTATGGACTATTCGACAATTGGCTAACAGCAACTTTGGCGAAGAAAATTGGGATAGGAACGATACAGTGAACTATCAAAATATCCTTACGAACAGTAATAGTAAAGATGATGATGACAGTAATCTAGTGATCCAAGTTGTGAACGAAGACGACGGCAACACTACTACGAATGCATATGGTTCGAACTTCAATAATAGAAAATAAATAGAACTATGGCGGGTTTTTTCGTTGTAGGAAATAGCTATCCGATAAATGAAAATTATTATTCCGGCAATTTCCAACAGGAATGCGTTGAAGGAGGTTAGTTCCTCTTGAATATTTCAGAGTTCCGACAAATCCTCAAGAAAAAAATTATTTTGCTAAACTTACGATGTGTGAAAATCTGTTTTTTTTCTATTCAGCCTATCAGCCAAGTTTGGGTAATAATCAGAGCTATCAGCAAAATTGGAGTACCAATCAATTTGATCAACAAAATTGGAGTCCTAATCAGTTTAATCAGCCAAGTCAACAATCATGGGATAATAATCAGTTCTATCAACACAATGACGGAAATAATCAGTTAGGACAAGAGATTTGGAGTCAAAATCAGTTCGTTCAGCAGAATTGGAATAATAGCCAATTCAGCGGAGGAAATAGTCAATTCGATCAGCAAACTTGGACATATAATCAGTCTCAGCAGCAAGATTGGAGTACTAATCAATTAGATCCTCAGAGTCAACAACATTGGAATGGTAACCAGTTCTATCAGCCAAATGATGGAAACAATTCATTTGGACAGGGGATGTCGAGCAATAATCAATGGAATCAGCAAAATCAGCCTCAGTGGGGTAATAATCAATACGGCCCATCTTATGGAGGTAAATAAATGAATTTTAAAAATCGGAGAATTCTGTTTTCTAGATGGCAGTTTTCAAGGAGACACAGTTGGAAATCAATATCCAGGTAAATACCTTCACACGTATAAATAACAAGAACTAGTTAGACTGTTATGTTAGGTGGTTACGGAGGAGGCAACTCAACCTTTAGCGGCTTCACACATAATAATCCAACTTCGAGCGATCATGGGTTTGGTTAATCAAGTTTTATTACTTATGATGAACATTTCTTTCATAGTTGACATAAAAAGATATGAAATAAAGCAAGACAGAAGTATGAATTGCACAATCAAATTTGCTCGCATTGTTCATCGGTTTTTTTTATATGAACTATCTAACTGTTGATGAAGGAACGATGTTCATCTAATTTCTAAAGTCACAAACTAGGACATTTTTGACATAATATGTTTAGGTATATACACTTTCAGTTTACTGATAACTGCCGCCACTGAAGAACGGCACACTGAGCACTGGGTTACGCTGCAGTGATGTCACTGACACTGGTACTAAACCGACACCGAAGATCACTGGTGCACCGTCATTCACTACAGCACAGACAGCCCTGACCACAAAGAGCTCGGTGTTCAGTGGAGCACTGAGAGATACCGATATTGCTTTTTGATGACTTTTATCTTTATGTGTAATATTATTACATCTTCCGTCATGTAGAGATGAACTCACTAAAGTTTATTGGTTGAATAGCTACATATTTGCTTAATTACCTTTTCTTTTTCTTGTTCTATATCTGATTTAATTTAACGTTATATTCTGTTAACAAATGAAGGAATTATCCTTGAACCACTTTCCTTATATATAACCTTGTACTGTTTTAAACATCTATCTTTTCTTCAATTTGTATTCTTTTACATCCACTCTTCTAAACGTCATCTCATTCATTATTTAAATTCGATTTTAATAGACGCCAAGGAAGAATGAAATCAATAATCTTTAACACTATCTTCTCTATCTTTTTGTTCCATATTTCATATTATGTAGTGGTAAAAGAAAAAATATGTGAGTCAATTCCTTTTTTTCTTTCGTATTCGACCTTCTCGTCCGATACATCGTGTTACGCAGTTAGATAAAAGAAAAGAAAGGAAGCGGTTTCTTTTCGCTAGTGTTTCAATTTTCTCGTCCGATAATTATATGAAGCAGTTGGAAAAGACAGAAAGCAAAGCAGGGATGTGCCGATGTGGAGAGCGAGGGGAGGCAAGGAGGGTCCAGACCTCCTCACTTTTGAAGAGTAATGGATTGCTATAGTAAAACTGCACTAAAAGGTGTATTTTAAAATCTCAATGTAAGAAATTGGCCCCGAGGGGGAGTGCAGAAATCTATACCTAGGGCCGCCCACTTTTTCCGTTGAGCACATCCCTGAAACACAGTACATTATTCTTTTCCATCTTGCTTCGTCACATATAAATATTTCGCATTTTTAAATTACCAATTTTATCCCCTATAAATTTATGTATCGGTGTGCGTAGAGAAGAGCCTCGCATAATTTTTATAGTTCAATCGATGTATCTATACTGAATGGTAAAATGTATTTTAGAAAAAAACGAGAACTTTGAACAACATGTATGTTTATCTTAATAAAACATGCTAATCTACTGTTTATGAACACAATACTCTTAGAAAAGATTTAGTTGGAAAATGAATTCATTTTTTATTAGCAAAATATCTTTTCTATAGATATTGATTTCATTTTGCTGAGTAATATTTTCAAAATTCATCTATCTCGTTACTAGATCTAAATTATTCATACCTGAAACTACTATGAAAGAATCAGTGTGTCTCAGTGTTTCACTGAACACCGAGCTCGTTGTGTTCAGTAGTCAGTGCTGTTGGTAGTGCAGTGAACGACGGTGCGCCAGTATTAGTGACATCAATGCAGTGTAACCCAGTGCTCAGTGTACTGTTGTTCGATGTCGTCAATGTCGGTATTCATAGTTTTTGCATTGTGATTGCACATCCATAAATATGTTCAATAAATTAACTCCAGTACCGAATACATTTCAATATGAAATTTAGATTGATCTTCTTTCGTTACTAAATAGTACTGTAGATCAGTAAGAGGTCGAACACGTCTCGTATCGAATTCGAATTTACCAAAATAAACACTTCATTCAACATAGTTTGCTTTCCCCTTAGAAAATTCTCAGCTATAGCCTTCGACAGTTCGAAGTCCTTTACACCAATAAATATCTTTTCTTTCTGTCCACGTTTGACCATTCGAACATCTAATTTATTCAAGGGGGAAAAAGCGGATCCTGGATCCTCGGATCCTGGTGGATCCTGTGGATCCTGGTGGATCCTATTGGATCCTACTGGATCCTGGTGGATCCTGTGGATCCTGGTGGATCCTGATGGATCCTATTGGATCCTGATGGATCCTATTGGATCCTGGTGGATCCTGATGGATCATAGTGGATCCTAATGGATCATAGTGGAACCTGATGAATTGTAGAATAAATTATTTCAAGCGTACAGAAACGAGGATGGAAAAGTTGATCTTAATGGATATGAGAATTCTTTAAGGTCCAAATAAATTAAGTGAGAAAAGGGAATAGTGACTTCAGAATTTGTAACTAAGTAAAGAGAAAAAAAGATCCAGGATACCGAGATGATTATGTCTAAATTTTGGCATATCATCATGGATTCTGCGCATTTTTTTGATCCATCAAGATTTACGCTTCCTCGATCGGTTTGATATTATTGTAATACATGATGATTTCTATTGCATTCTAGTTATCTCTGATCAATTGTAATGGATTGTGTTGAATTATAGCCAATGGCGGTAATCTGTGACCGCTTTTGGCACACTTCTAGAAATATATTCTAAAATCTCTTAGGACTCTAGAATCCGCTTTTCTCCGTCAAACTAAGGATGTCAGAACTTAGAGCAGCCCTCTACTTTAATCTTAATCCTGATTTTCCTTGAGAAAGTGTGAAAGAACATTTTGGGCTCCTGAATCTGAAGATTCATGCCATATTTTATTCAGGATTCCGTTTCCAATTTTAATAATACTGGTTTGCAGGATATTTCATTGTGAAAAAAATATTCTTCTCAGGATCTTTTCAAGTTGCCACTCAGATTTCTTTATTATTTTAACATGATGGACCGTACTAGGATTCACCCTTGATCTTATTCAAAACCTTGATACGGATTACAGAAAGAATATCGCTTACATTCGATTATAGTTTTTGACAGAATTTGTTTGGGATCTCTGCGTCATGGTCCTCTCCTGGCTTACAGTTAAATAAGGCAAATATCCTACAAGGAATTTATAGAAGAGCAATGAAAATCCTCAGGTAGTGAATTCTGCTAAGATTCAATCACGATTCTATCTAATTTTCTTAAGCATTCTTCTTACGAATATCTTTTCTGAATATTTCCAGGGTTGTCTTAGGGTCTCTTCAAGGACAAGCATTTCGGATCCTTCCTAGAGAAGGTCAAGGATGGCCAGGATCTTTCTGAAAGCATATCAAGGTCAGACGAAGATCTTTACCATTTTCATTTAGAGTCTACTAAAGCTTGATCTTGAGGATTGTAACAAGATCTATGACTGATCTGGTTCAGGATTTTGAATAAAATTATGAAATGTTTCCATCAAAATCCTTAACAGTTCCTATTTAAGATTCTTCGAATATTTTTGAATCTTTGAATCTCAAAAACTTAAATTGTGCTTGTTAAATAAAATTTTAACAGTAACTATACTAAAATGACAATGAAGAATTTGCAATGTGTTTTGTTCCGGTTCTGACAGGAATGTAGAAGATCAAGAAGGTACCTGAATTTCATTCTAATATTCCTTTGTATCTATGTGTCAGTGAATGGAAGAAATCTGACAGAATTTTTGAAGATTTCTCGTCAAAGATTTTTAATATTTATCTTCAATACTGCATGACATTTACAGCATGGAACTCAGTTATTTCTTGAATTTTATTTTCATATAAAACTTGCAAACTCATTAAAATGGAGATTTTAATATCAGTTTAACTGTTGCACTAACTTTTTCTTAAAAAAGCTTTTAGTAAAGGACGAGTACTTCAATAAAACTTGTACTGGATTTTATTTATTCGTGCTAATCAGAAAAATATCTTTTTATTCAAATTGAAATCAACCAGTCATACTAGAGTTTTATGATAAGTAATCAATAGATTAAGTTTATATTGAATTTTTGTTCAAATAACTTATGTTTGCATAAAGTTCAAATACAAGTTAATAGTTCAGAAGGAATTCGAGATACAGAAGGTTTGAGTTAAATTAAATAGCATGGTACAGTCTACTGCGGTGAACTAATCAGTTTTTTAACTGAACATATAGAAATCAATAATGTGCGTTCATTTCTCTTTTCTGCTTAGAGAATCCTGGAAAAATTTTGACAATCCATCGGATATCATCCTTACAGAATCGAAGTGGAGTTCTGCGAGGTGCAATCAGAAAATATTTTCCAATTAGAAGCCATTGAAATTCTGAGAAGAGCTTGACATAAAGTCAATACAAAATGACTCAGAATTTCTCTAAGATTTTGTTCTAATCATAACAGAATCGTGTTTATTTCGTGTCTACACGTTTTTCTGAGGATTTGACCCTCTATTAACATATTTCTTGTTTTAATTGGATTGGTAAACTGCTCAGGATACTGATAGAATCCTGTTATGAACCTTGTCGAGGTCTTGAAATTCCGTGACTACACGGCTTTCTCAAGATTTAGCAGCTTCTTCGACGATATATGATTGGGAAATAGCAATAAACTGTTACGATCTTGATTGAATCTCAATTAAAATTCTGTCGGCATCTTAAAATTTTATGGGTACACACTTTTTTCCGTTTTTCGCATTTTCCCCGGAAAAAATGGTGAACCTGTGCAGCGCTGTTGCTGCTTATGTCAGAAATCTAGCTCAAAAAGACTTGAGCTTTTCTCTAGCAAAAATTCAACACTATCTAGTACAATCTTTTGAAATCCAGAAGAATACAGCAGAAATTAAC